AGGATGGTGTTATTGGACAAAGGGTAAGACGCAGAAAGGATCAAAATATGACATTGCAAAAAGTGCTCATCTTATATTAATCTAAGGTTGCTGGAGGGATATAACTCTTGTCTTAAAAGATCTTGTACCTTAGAATGGAATGCACAGTTATTCCAAACTATCCTCTCCAGCGTAGGCAAAGGTCTTGAAGGATCTGTGTGTTTCCTGGAGACAAAGAACCTGAGGAGGTACCAGCAATCCAAAAATGGACTGTTGAAATGGCAAAAATATTAGCGTTTGAAAAGACTGATCTGAAGTTTGATACATTGGTCTAAACCTGGTGTTACGAATAGAAAAAGATGTTATTTTAGGAAGGATTGAATATAAAAACATTAGTTGCAATAGTAGTTTACCATTAGAAAATGAGGAAAATATTCTGACTTGGGCGACAAGACCTGTGAGGTGCTTGATTCCTCTTTTCTGTTCGTTGGGAATCGACACAAACTTGTATTTTTTGCTCTTGGTTCCTCTTGAATTATTGCTTAATTTGGTGTTATTTATTGTGTCTGCAAATGAAGAAATGTATTTTTAACCAGGGTTGTTTGTGAATGTTTTGATGATGACAGCTAAACTTTGGTGAGCAATGCCAAAATTTGATTTTTTTTTCTAGATAAGAAATAAAATTTTAAAAAAAATTGATTAGAAAAAGGGAAAAAATAAAGATGTTGCAGGTAGCTAACACTTACTTACTTTTTTAAATTTCCAGGGAGACCGAGGAGATCCTGGTCCAGAAGGCTTGGTTGGTCCTCAGGGACTTCCTGGACCTCCAGGTCCTGTTGGTGCCCCAGGTGATGCTGGAAGGAGAGGAGAGCCTGTAAGTGGTTTTTTTTTTTGTTTGTTTGTTTTTTTCCTGTTCATGTGCAGGGTGTATTAACAGATGTACCGAGGGCACATGAGGACATTCTGGAGGCAGATTTAATTGAAACCCTTAATAGTAACTGAATAATGTGTTTCAGTACCAGAAGGCTGGATGGACTCTGTGTTTGCAGAGGTCTATGTTCCCTGAGGGCTTTCTAATGATTTTGCTCGTTTTCAGGGCTCAAGAGGACCTCCTGGACCACCTGGCTCAGCTGGAAAGAGAGGATTAGTGGTGAGTCTTCAGCTTGTGGTTATGTGAAACTATCTGTTTTATGAAAGTAAATTACCTTTTCAGATAGCTTTCAATGAACATTCATTCAGATCTCAGTGCAGAACTGCAGTAAAAGCAATCTTCATCATTTCATGACCGTAATTATGAAATGCCCTAAATCTTTTATAACTCAGGGACCCCAAGGGCCGAGAGGAGATAAGGGTGACCTGGGTGACCATGGAGAGAGAGGCCAGAAGGGACACAGAGGCTTCACTGGTTTGCAGGGTCTCCCCGGACCTCCAGTAAGTAAAAATGATAATGTTGACTCTGATGACTTCTGCTTCATCTCAGAGGCTTTCCAACCTACTGCATACAGTACAGTGGAGTATTCTTCTGTTATTCCACCTTTGCCAACCGCGCTCTGAAATGCAAATCAGACACTGATCAAAAGGAGCTTTAATTTTTTATTTGAACATAATTCTCTTTCATTTTAATGCAGCGCTTGTAAATGAGTGCAGCTTCATTTCCGTTTTTTGCTAACAATGTTGTCTGTCATTATCCCATCAACCCACCCCTCATGACCCAGTTACTGACAGCTATAAGCTAGATTAGAAAACTTAGTGTATTTACTTTACTCTTGGCAGTGCCCTAAAGTGGACACTTTGTTTCACAGAAATTCAGCTGAACAAAACAAATGGTACCATTAGCTGAGTTTTCCCACTTGAGTATCATCAATAGATTGTGTTCATCGAGTTCAAGTGCATTAAACAGACTAATAAATTTGATTTATTGCTTTTAGGGCACAACTGGTGAGCAGGGAGCTCCAGGAATTGTTGGACCCAGTGGACCGAGGGTAATTGCCACCGATTCATTCGTGTTGAGGAAGAGAATAATCTTCATATCAACTATAACTTTGGAATTAATTTCTCATGTTTGAGGCTAACGGTTCCTTATGATTTAGGGACCTCCTGGACCTATTGGGCCTCCTGGAAAAGAAGGATACATAGGACTGCCTGGACCAATGGGACCTCCAGGAACTCGTGGGATCACAGGAGAAGTTGGACCAGAGGTATTGTCTCATTACGCAGCAAAAAGTGTGTGCAAAGCTCATAAAAAGGAGCCAGATGAGAATGTTTGTTAAAATGCAGAACATCTTTTCAACAGATGTTTGGTACATAGGGAATAGGGGATGGGCAAAATTTCAATGTGTAAATAAAAACCCCAAAGAGTACAGTCTTCACACTACTATTCCAAAACCCGCAGGGCCCTCCCGGAGAACCCGGACCCGCAGGTCCTCCAGGCCCTCCCGGACGTCCCATGGCAGCTGTGGATGACCTATTCGGTGGCCCCCAGGATTACGACTCTGGGCCACCTCCTCCTGAGTTCAGCGAGGACGAAGCTCTGCCCAACAGCAATGCCTCCACCATAGTGCCCGTCGACCCCGGTGTTCAAGCCACCCTGAAAGCCCTCAAGAGCCAGATCGACAACATGAAGAGCCCAGACGGCAGCAAGAAACATCCTGCCAGGACCTGCGATGACCTCAAGAGGTGCTACCCCATGAAGAAGAGCGGTGAGTGAGGGGAGACATTTAAACAGATTTGACTTTATTAGAATGTAAATTTTTTTCTATGGTAGCCTTGAGAGGTCAAATACACTACAACTTAGGAAAACACCAGCAAATAGGAAAATGCTGCAAAAACACAACAGGAATTAAAAAACCTGCAAAATCTAAAAACAAATTTTAAAAATCATGAAACAAATCTTTTTTTTTTTTTAGGAAATGATAACATGATAGAGCAGAAGCGGAATAAATGGCTAATAGCAAACATGTATCCACAGCATTTTATGAATGGTGATTAAATCATGTTTTACCTCCACACTTTTTCCAGCTCACAACACTGATGAACCCTCCTCTTCGTTTATGTCTCAGTGTGAGCCTTCACATGTTTTGGTTTCCATCACATCCCCAGAAACACTTGTTTGCGCTTTGTAAGATTTTGTTTTTTTCCCCTCACTTTATAGTGTTTTGTGTGTATTTGCAGCGTTTTTCCATTTGCTGATGTAAATATTGACACACAAACTAAGGTTGCTTGCATGTAATGTCAAGGCTCCCGAGTATAGTTTTATACACATGCGCCTAACAAGAGAAAGATCCACAGTTTGATCCCAGGAGGGGACAAAAATCCATCTGGGGGTGCATCAGGAAGGGTATTTGGTGTAAAAAGTCTGCCAGATCAAACCCCTTGTGAATAAGGAAGCAGGACATCCTATGTGTGAATGTGATAACTCAAGAACAGGTGACTTAGGATTTTCAAATTGATACTGTAGTTGCATCTACTAAAACCTTGGACAGTTTGAATCTCCGTGACCGTTACCTCAAGTTTTCAGACAATCTTGAGAACCCAATAACTCGGGAAGGAAGTCACCTAGAATTTATAGCACAGGTCTGTCTCCAAGGAGGCTAATTGCATACAGTCATCCTAAAAACTTGAGGAAATGGTATATACTTATGGTATATACCAAGCTGTAAATGGTACCATTTACAGCTTGGGAGCTTGTAGGTACCTTTTAAGTGCTCAAGGAAACAGATACGTGCCTTTAATACCAATTGTTAGCCCCAGGGGTCCGTTCATGTAGACACTGACTTAGTATATTCCTACTTCTGGAAGTGCAATTTATTTGAATGCTTCCATTTTGTGATGTAGGTGAGTACTGGGTGGATCCAAACCAAGGCAGTGCAGAGGATGCCATTCAAGTGCACTGCAACATGGACACCGGAGAGACCTGCATCTCTGCCAACCCATCCAGCATACCTCGTAAAGTGTGGTGGACCTCCTCCAGGAACAAGCCTGTGTGGTTTGGAGCCGACATGAACAGCGGAACACATGTGAGCAGCTACACACTAGTTGTGTGTGTCTGTGTGTGTGAGAGCATTTTTAAATGAATCCAGACCTTAACATGTTGTACAAATTTGTGCTTTTAGTTTGCTTATGGCAACAAAGATCAGCCATCAAACACCGTCGCAGTGCAGATGACCTTCATCCGCCTGCTGTCCAAAGAGGTTTCCCAGACCATCACGTACCACTGCAAGAACTCCGTGGGCTACATGGATGACAAGACGGGCAACTTAAAGAAAGCCGTGATCCTCAAAGGCTCCAACGACCTAGAGCTCAAAGCAGAGGGAAACAACAGGTTCAGATACACAGTGGTGGAGGACTCCTGCACAGTAAGTCCAGCGTTTCAACTGTTGTAGTTCAACACATGCCTGACAATGAAGATTGAGTAGTGAGTTAATACTGGACAGGTCTTCATCAGTCAAATCATAATGATGCTTGGTGTCTGCTGGGTGTGAAAGTAGGCAGCAGTTTCTAACAGATTCTATCAGGGTTGATACAAATTGAGTTTTTCAGCTTAATTTATAGCAGGAGGTGAGTGTATGTGAACACGAACACAAAATGAACAGTGTGCTTAGGGAACAAACTGAGGAATTAGATGTATTTCAGGATTTGAAAGCCTTTCTCTTCACAGAGTTCACTGACGAACCTGCGTTTTTATCTCTTTAACAGCAAGCAAATGGCAACTGGGGCAAGACCGTGTTTGAGTACAGGACACAGAAAACAGCAAGACTTCCCATTGTGGATATTGCCCCCGTGGACATTGGCGGCCGGGATCAAGAGTTCGGCGTCGACATCGGGCCCGTGTGCTTCTTGTAAAGGTGTCAGCAGGGAAGGGAAGTGTCGAGGAGAATCCCGAGACTGTTGAACTGACAGCTGATGCGATCAGCCACGTTGTACATACGAGTACCGAGGACTGTTGTGGCCCCGTGGCGAGATATTTATTGTGCCTTTCGACCCAGTTCAAGACGGCAAAGATTTGTTTTGGAATTTACATGAAAAATTGGTTTTAAAAAAAAAAAAAAAAAAAAAAAATCAGAATCATTCCTCTGTCGTCTTGTGTATGTTTGACTTCAAGCTTTGTGCATTTTCGAGGTCCAAAGATCTTACCCTTTAATTTCACCAAAGAACATAGAAGCTTTAAACTGTTATTATGACTGCTGTTCGTAAGCCCAGAACGTTTCCACTGAAACTACGACGTATGTCCCACCACTACTAATTTTTTTTTAGAGACTTCTGTTTTCTTTGTTTTTTTACTTCATTGTCTGAATATAAAACATCTTTGTGGTGCTATTGAGGAAACAAATACAGCCGCTTATGCGTTCGCTGGCGCAGGTATTTTCTCATGAAAGTTCTGATGAACCGATGTCTGTATCTAGTTACTCAAAACTCTGTACCAACCATGTAGAACATTAAAGACGCATGAAGACTGTCAGTCACTCAGTGTTAGCTACCTCGTCACCGGAACTGAGAACACCATGACACTGCATGTAAATCTTTTGTTTCACACAGGTGCTGTTTTGTAAGTAGTGTGACCTTTGTGATCTTCTCCCAGCTGCGCGGTACAGGGCAGGGTTTGGGGATGCCAATAAAGATCTCTCTGTCAACAATGGGGAGATGAATGAGGTGTCATGTGAGTGATGTGTGGTGATTTGTAATTCTTCCCCCCCCCCCTTCAATTATACATATGGTACAGTTAAAAGGTAGCACAGAATATTCGATTTTTATGCATGTCAGCTCCCCCTTTGAAGTATCCTGGACATATATGCTCTTGAAATCCTTTTTTTTAATACTCAGTTTTATAGAATAAGACAGCTGAGTGTGCCTGTTTGCTTTGTATTTTTAATTTTTATTTTTTTGCTATGCAACAAATTAAACTAAATGCTTGTTAATCCCCCTAAGCTCTTGTCATATTGATTCAGGTATAGTTAGGCTCTTTGCGTTGGCCAGTTTTGCACCTAAATTCATATTTAGTTTAATTTACTTTTTACACAAAGTTTTCAATGTGAACAGTTTGTTTTACATCTTTCCTTTTTTTTTTGACTGTGCTTTTAAGTAATTCTCTTGTGACCATTTGGTTCGAATTTGAGTATATTTATTATAGATTTGTTAGAATTATGCAAGGCATGGCTGCCTGCAAACACCCCCAAGGCAGAGAGGAGGAGGAGAAGGAGGAGGAAGAGGATGAAGAGGGGGGGTTCCACACTGGAAGCAGATGCGTTTCTTCCTTTGAAAATAAATATTGAAAATACTTCTCTCTGCCTGTTCTTGTTTGAGTAGACTTCATTTTGGATCTTTATAAATTGTCTATGATAGCAGCCCCAAGAGACCTGAAACTTTGTTTTAAGAGAAAAGAAAAAGAGAAAATCAGATGTGATTTTTTTTTTTTTTACAGCACAACTGTAGCAACTGAAGAATTAGGACAACAACTGAGTGAATCACTCTCTCCCTGCCTGTGGTGATGTGCTTAAGCACCCCGGCTGTTAAGGTGAATCTTAAATATGAGGAAAATCTGTTTAGACACTGGACCTAATCTGAGCTATTGCACCTCATGTCATAGTTATAGCTCATGGGACATTCACAGAAGGTAGCAGTGATATGGCAGCTAAAGACTGAACACAAAAGTAGCCATTCCCAAGGTAGAGATATTACTAATGGGAGCAAAGGACTCCGATTAGTGGAACATGACAGGTTGGCAAATAAAGTAAAAAGGTTACCTGGGCACAAATAGATAACTTTGTATACAGAAAGCATTTTATGGTGAAAACATATGATGAACATAAAAGGTGTTTAGAGTAAAGTGTTAGAAAGTAACACAACACATTTATTGCTAAATTCAAGTGACTAAGTTTCTTTATTTGTGGTATATTTCTTTGGTTAAAACTCAGTCACACTAGAGTAAAAGTAGGAGAGATACTGGGTTGTTCGGTGTTTGCATTGAGTGTTTTTGTATTTATGATGGATTTCAAGTAGTTGGAGTGATCAGCTACTTGCCCAGAGGTTCATTCATTGTGCAATGTCAACCTTTTGGGTGACCACTCATGATTGCAAGGCGATTGCACAGGTGTCTTGGTGCGAGGCAACTATCGGCGTAACTTTGTGCTGAACATAGGGGGAGGGGATCTCTGTCTAAATAAATAAAATCATCTGGGTAATTCCCAGATGATTAGACATGCAATTATTTTGTTGGTAATAACTGAAATGAGTAAAGAAACTCAACAGCCCAATTATGCAAGATAATTCATAATTTTATGGGGGGGGGGGTATATTTGTTGGGTCTGATCATTGGGCAAAAGCAAGGTGATTAAAGGCAAGGTTGCAAAAATACCTCTGTCATTTTTGCAATTAACATGCTGTTCTGCAGCAACTACACCACTATTTGTGGAGGAACTTCTGTTTAAAATCTACCCATTCAGGTTTCTGGCTGGACTCTTAATAGAAGTAATTAATGTGAATCTCTGTGTATGCAGATGGCAATTTGTGGATTTCACAATTTATCATAATTAATTGCCATACTATCCCAAGCAGATTGGATGAAATTGCCATATTCAATAGCAAATTGACAGCATACAGAAGGCATTACCAGTCTTATCTCTGACAACTAACTGCAGGTGGTCACAGACCTGATACCAGTCTTTGAAGCAACCATATCAAAGGCATTGAGAGTGTAAGTTCATTGCACACGGTCAAAATCATTTTTGTAATGCCACAGTCTGTGACCGCTGTGACTTCAGCAAGAGAGAAAAACAGGGATCAAATCCTTGCTGTTAGTGTGCATTTGCACTTTAACTAGCAAAATGACACATTCTGTATTAAAAAAGACGAGAACAACATGTAATCAATGTGATTAAGTTACATCAGCTTTTAAGACCGCTACTGCAAATGTGAAGAGACACCTGCAAGCTAAGCACAGTTCCACAACAACCCCCAACTTCTGCATCAGTTAAAGCTTTCACTGAGCAGCATTAATGAGCTTGGTTCTATGGAGGAGGAGATGCTATCAATGTTAACTTACTATCCTGAGAAAACGTCAATATATTTAGTTGCATTAGTCCAGCAGTATTACACACCCTGCAGAAAGCGAACCACGCTAACTGCAGCTAGCATGTACAATACCGCTGTTACAGACCTAAATCTTAACTCTTAAAAGCTCATTATATGTACTTAAAAGTCACAAAGGCATATTGGCTAAAACAGGCTTTGATATTGCAGAATAAAGAGCAGTGGCATGTAAACATATGGACTCTGTACTTCCTGGACTCTGCTAAGAGGACTTCCATTTTTTTTTCATGTTTCCCTTTTGTAAGCTGATGGCAATCGCACACAAAATGTCGTGATGGCACTCGGAAAAATTCAAGGGCGTCATTGTGCATTAGCCGAGCTTACAGCATTATAATCATTCTGCCACTTGAAGAAAATGTTTCATAAACAAATGCCACATACAAATAAAGTCAGATATAAATTATATAACACAGAAGAATGAGTGAGGAGCAGTTTTCATAGTAGGATTTTCTTTAATATCTGTAACAGCAAAGTCAATTCAACCAAAAGTGAAATAACAGGAATAGAACTGGCTGGACAGAGATAAAAGAGCAGAAAATGAAAGGTAAACACCGAAATGGCAACTCAATCTGGTCAAAATCTGAACAGAACAAAGGACAAAGAGCGGAAAGGTCACTGAAGTAAAAAAACAAAAGAAAATATCAGGCTGGATTAATCGACTACATAACGTATGAATTAATGTGGAGTAAAATATGTGATGTTAAAAGCTCAAAGGTTTTGTCACAATATAGATTCCATTTATTTTTCTTGCCAGCTTGTGTTTGGCATACAAACAGGAATGTGTTGACAATACAGAATTCAAACGGTGCATACACACATATGAAAATTCTGCCACAGAGTGTACCATTGAACATATCGACTATTTACAACTGTCTCCTCCTGTGCAAGCAAAGGTACTCAAAACTAACACCTCCATATGCATTTTTTGTCTTTTTTTTATTACAAAAATAGCTCTTTACTTTAATGGATCTGAGTTTACCTTGAAATATCGAAAACCAATCTAAATGCAAATGCATATAAACCTCAAGATGAAAACTGTGACATCTTGACTCAACCGTGGAGTGGATTTTGGCACTTCTTCATACAAACGGGTTGAAAGTGCACCTCGAAGGGTTCATCTTCTCAACATCAGCAGCGACTGTCTAGCGGGTCCAGAGAGAAGACGGTGCCCTCTAAGGTTAGTCCCATTTTGAACCCCTCCTGGAAGACATGAAGCCACACAGGGCCGCTTTTATAGACACTCAGGCACGCTGGAAAAACCTCAGAGGCAAAGACGAGCTAAACGCTACTGACACTGCATCATGCTGGGTCATGCATTTTAGACAAGATCAGAAACGGCAAGGCATGAATCCTAATAGGAAAACTCAATTATAGCAGATCAAAGTAAGTCGAGCTTATTTTGCAAATGAGGCCGTCATGCACCCCCAACATTGTTTATGTGCAAAACAAATATTTTCAAGCAGTGCGTATTTGTTCTTGTTAATCAAAAAGACACAGAGTAAGTCATGAAGAAAGCTGAGCTAATGAAGCTGCCACAGATGCACTGGCAGCGTCGGTGCAGTCTGCAAATGTGAGCGCGTGCAGCTGCATTCAGAGCGTGCAAGACGAAAACACAACAGCACAAGCAGAGGGTAAAGGACTACGAACCATCTCTGCCGCTACGAGTGAGAGAGGGAAAGAGATACGTTCAGCTGTTAGTCATTAAGAAGAGAAAGAACAGGAAGGAGAGAAACATCAGAGCAACGCTGCCTCCTACTGGCGACACGCTGCCAAAGCTCAACAGGTGTTTTCCAAACTGAACCTTGGATGTCGCAGTTTTGAAGTCACAACTTTTTAAAGCAAATGTTGTCATTTTCAGGCGGTTTTTACAGATTCATGTGGACATGGTGTAACTACACTGATAACTATGTGACAGCACGAAAACAGAAGCTGCAGCAGCTTTTCAAACCCTTTTTTCCCCCATGTCCTGCTATTGCAAACAGAAAAAAAGCACCGCTACAAATCCACTTAATTAGTCTCATCTGTTAACAAGGCTGCGAGGTGTGTTTCTAATAATTACCAATTACAGGACAGGAAGCCCTGCGAATAAATACCACCGACTAAAGGAAACTATTTCAGGATCACTTTTGTAGTTTGTTAGGAAATGATGGATCCAATTAATTCCACTTCTGCACTCACCGACCTTTAACAAGAACGTGCATTTGTCTGTTAACACAAATCAGTTACAGTGGGTGTAAGATAAATTCACACACTTAACAAAAAAAAGTTGTTATCTTAGACATGAGATCATATATTCAAATCCCGATTTATCGCTTTGGATTAAATGACTGAACACAAGCTCCTTTAGCTCTCTCAGTTTTTGGCAATCCCCACAAAGGTTTGAGACGCAGTCTGAAAGCAAAAGTTTATTTCTAATAAGCACCATTGTTTTTTTTTATATTACAGATCTGACTACAATATTAATTTATGGCTCCATCCCAACCACAACAACAATTGCTTGAACTCGCTCTGCTGTAATATCACGACATTTTCATGCAGGCAGGAAAACACATCAGAGTGATACACTAAACACTTTTAATTAACACACTCCTTTATGAACACATTAGTGTTTCTGTGTCTTCTGATTAAAATGAATAAAGGAGCTACTGTTACCCATTGATGAGTCACTAAACCTTTCCTCATTAGATAATTCCACACAAATTGTTTCTATTGCTGTGCGACTGCATTTTTCTACTCAAACATTATTTATTGTAATAAAGTGTGTACTGTATGGTGGAACTGATGTGGCAATTACAGCGGTGTGCACTGCTGTTAGACAACTGGAGTTTGTTACTAGGTTCAGCTAAGGCGTCGCTTGTGATGCGCAAAGCCTTTATTTACGAAAGCAAGGGGAAAATCTTTAATTTAGGGCCGCTTTTATAGATCTTTAAATAATAAAAAGAAGAAAACAGTTTCACAGTTTAAGCAGCCTGCCTGCAATTCTTCTGAAAGAGACACAGCGATGAGCTCACCTGCATCTCATCCAGCTTTGACTGGATGTCTGGAGGGAAATCAGCTGCCCCGCAGGTGAACGGATCAAATGGCTCTGCACCAAACAAATCTTTACCTACACGCAGAGAGCAGATCAACACTGTAATGATCAAGGAGGCACATCGAGGGGGGAGGGGTTAAAACACCGAAATGCAAATAAGTTTTTCACTTACTTATATCTGGTGGCAATGTGGTGGGTGGAGGGGGTGGGCAGCCGTTGCTGGCTGGTGTGGGCACCAGTGGTGTCACAGGGGAGAAGGGAACCATGTCAAAAATGTCTGTCGACTGCGGCTTCATTGAGATACTCCCCGCCTGCATACAAAGTAATGGTTGAGCCACCGGCAGAGACCTGTAAGTTCACCCATGCACAAACTACACAGCTATTTTTCTCTTTCTTTTTTTTGCATCAAAGCAAGGGAAGAAGAAGAAGAAGAAGCACAAGCACCACATAGACAAAGGCAGGAGATAACAAGGCTCCAGGGACAGAGAGACAGCACAGAAAAAGAGAAGCGGAGGGTGTTTACGCGAGGCCGCGGGATGCTGCAGCCCTCGTTGGGTTTAGGAGGGAGGAGAGCGGGTTTGGCAGGCGGAGGAGTTAGTAGCCCGGTGGACAAGTTGGACTCCGGTGAGCTCATAGGAGTGAGAGTGACAGAGGAGATTTCCAGACAGGAGAGCGACTTGATGCTGTGGCACCAGAAGAGAGAGGACGGCCTCTGCAGCATGTACGCTTCATTAGCTGCGTTTATGTGCAGCGGCTGAGAAAAAGATCGCAGACAGGAAATGACCAGAAAGAGAGAGACAGAGACAATATTATTCAGTGTTGTAGAATAGGGGAGCTGTGGGTAATTGCATTCTCAGGAGGCTGTCACAAGTGCTGGCATTTGCCCCAATTAGATGCCGAATGTATCGCATTCCTCATCAGACCAATCAGGTGTGTAATTGCTTTGCTTCAGATACAGACCCCTGCTGCCTGCCTCCAGATAGGCCTGGTCATTCCAAACCGGAGTCGTGCATTTAATCGCACAAACACAATCAGCAAAGCCACCTGTCCTTAAAAGTACTTTTAAAACTCAACAGTTTAAATTTAAGTTTAAATCAGGAATCTTTTAGAATTAAACGACGGTTTAGGTTGTGCACTTCTGGCTCATTCAGAATGCTTGAATCACAGATTATGTTATTAAAGAGTGCTATTACATTAGTCAGCTGTTTCGTACATAATGAAAGTCTTTGAATTAAACATCTCAAAAGGAACAAAACAGTTTTGTACAACTCAACAATTCAGCTGATTCTAGCGGCGTTGCTTTGTCTGGTATAACAGACACTTCAGGTAGTTTTAGATGGATATTGCAGATATTGGATATTGTAATGCAGTCACTCTATTGTTCCCCGTGGCTACAGTAACTGCTGTTGAAAAGGACAGAAATCAAAGTCCAAGGTCTCATTTTCTTCTGTAAAATCTACTTTTCTAAACTGAAGTTTGGCATGCTACGCAGTTTGTTCTTACTGAAGGTACGTGTGCTATCATCAGCTGTTCTTCAAGCTCTTGCAGTTGTTTCTTTAGCTCAGAGTTTTCCGTTTCCAGTTCTTGAATCTGCAAAAGATACAAACAGAATCAGGACACAGGGCAGCAGCAGAGTGCAGAAAAATATTTGATGTCAAAGTGCAATTTGTGTAATTTGCTTATGATACAGAATCACGTTCGAACTGCTCACATGTCTTTTTTTTAACAGAATTCGACACAAATGACAAAACACTGTACTTTAGCACACTGCTAAAAACTAACTATTATTAAGTAATTAAGCTGTCGCGTCAACAATGAGATACTGATATTCAACAAATCTTTCCTGAGACTTTGCTGAAACATTGAGATTATAATAATCAAGAAAAACCTATGACGTCTGTGAACTCATCAGACAAGTTGATAAGTAACCAACTCCACACAGCTTTAAGCCACAAAGGTATAGGATAGCAATGGCTAGTTAGCATGCTAACTTCAGTGCATATCAACAAAATACACAGAAATCTGCCATGATGTCATAACTAAAATTATCGACAAAATACGCAAAAATGAAAGTTAAATATAAACACCTTTAAAACAGCCAACAAAAACACTAGTTTAGTTGTTTCCTGTAAGGTTACATAGTGTTTAACAAATGTTACTCAAATGGGAACCCTGAAAACCACACATTTCACACCTGAGCCTCAAGTCTCGCAGCCCGGTATCAAACGACTCAGGGACCGGTACCGGTCCAAGGCACGGAGGTTGGGGGCCGCTGTATTAGAACACACATGCTGCTTTGCTGAGTATTACCAGCAGGGGGCAGCAGAAGCGATTTTGGGATTAAATCAAAATAAACGGTAGATCCTTGCCAAGCTCTGCTCAATAGCTATTTCTGGACCTTTGCTTCTATCACAAGGTCTTTATCAGCAGATGTTTATTCATGCTGAACAATTTGAACTCAATAATCACTAAACCTTTAACATGGCTCTGTGTCTGCATGTCTGTGTACATGTTCATAAACTGCTGAGTTGGCTGTACTGTTTAACACACTTGAATACACGTCTGCTTAACCACCGTCCTCCAACTGAGGTTAAAGTACACGTGAGGCTGGTGTTTAGCTAAAACATCACGTCCCCAATTTGATCAAATTTATATGAATATCTGAACAAATCCAATTTTAAACACTTCCCATGGGACAGCTCCATGTTTTCAGCTGGGCGTACAATAATTTGATTACAGGCTGGCTCTGTTACAACAGAAGTCTGCGTCATTAATATTCATTAACAGTTTTTTTCCTTTTATCAGCACAGCTTAATTGTCCACACTGGATGATTTAAGACAATCAATAGAAACAAGCTCCGCATTAATTAATAAAAACATCAATGCATCTGCACGGTGGTACACGCTGTCAGAGTGTGTGTGTGTGTGAGCGAACGAGCTCCGTGAGCTGGATGTGAGACGCACTCGTTTCTGCAGGGTTCCAATCTGTTTCCTGGTTTCCACGTCTTTGCCTCCAGACTCCAAGAACTTCTTGTAGGCCAAATCAAAGGCTTGGCCGATAGTTAAAGTTATCTCTTCTGCCTGAAGCACATAGGAAACAAAGACTGGCTCAAACACTAAATAAATGTGAGTACAGCTGTAGTTTTCACTTAAGCTGCTCGTGAAAGGTTAACTGTGAGATGTCAAAATACCTTATTTTTCAGCAATCTGACTCATGTATTTCACATTTGTATCCAAGGAAACAAGCAAGCTTGTTGAAGCGGCAGAGACTTACACATTTTTCACTGTCAAAGACGTAGCAGAGGTGTTTGTTGGACTCTGAGTCTTTGCAGATAAAAGTAAATATCCTTTTATCGGTTTTGTCATCTGCGCAGAAGGATATTCTGTGTAACTGACAGTTATGCTGCACATCCTGGGGGGAAAATAAAGCATTTATTATTTACTCTGCATATGAGAGATGACTTCACAGTGTTTATTTTCCGTATAATCACAGTTGTCATATACAGTTGCCTATACCCTTTCTGGACTCACTTTTGTCTTGGGATCTAGTATCTTCACGCCATAAATGGAGATCTGAAGTTCCACTTTCGGGATCTTCTGTCCCTCCGACTTTTTGATGTGCCTCTGAAACTGCAAGAGGAAAAATTAGTATGATAAAAATGCAATTAGCATATAAGAAAGTATGCCACATGACACACAAATACAGCTACAGTAAAAGCATGGTAAGACATTTTTACCATATCCTGGACTTCTGCATTTAAAGCTGCTAATTCATTAGCAACCAGCTCAAAAATTTAGATACGATGAATGTGTTGGCACTGTTTGTCATATTTCTGCTCAAAGTACAAACGTAAACACTTGTTCTGTTTTGTTCTCTAAGTATTTCTGAGACAACATTTCACTTTAGCTGCTAAATATTAAAGCAAGAGCTACTGACATTAGCGAGGTGTCTTATGCTGGTGGCATGACAGATGCAGTTGTAAGGAAAGGACATGCAATGTTTGCTAAGAGTCTGAATCAAAGAGTAAAGCCAAACCAAAGAGTTCAGAGATGTAACATTTAGTAGAGCTGAGATGATTATACTTTGAGTACAATTCCCTTTACAGTACACATTGTCATTTGAGGCACTGTTCATGTAAAGATTATGATTATTGCTGCTTTAAAAAGAAAGAAAAAACAGCAGTAAAACTGAATGCTGTTCTCATCAGTGTAGACACAAACCTCTGTGCAGCATATTATCTTTAAATGCTAATTAGACTTGATCGAGGGAAATGCAATCATTAAAGTTTCCTGTTTTACAGAAGAAATTAAAAGTGTGAACCATCTAGTGGGTCCATCTTTGTTCTCTGCCAAAAAACTGTTTAAGTCTTTCTTCATTTTGTTGCCAAGTGTTATAAATACAAAGTGAACTTGGCAGCGAGTTGAGGCCAACAACCAATGAAATTAAACGGGAGTGTATGCTGTCAGTTGAGAAGACATGCAAAGAAGCTGATAATATGACAACTCCTTTTTTTTATCTCAAGATAGAGTACAGAGCATAAGCTTCTGACACTTGTTTGTCGAGAGAATCTGACCAATCCAAAATCTACAAACTGCAACAGCATTAAAACCATTGACAGGTGAATGACACTGATTGCCTTGTTACAATGGCACCTGTCAAGGTGTGGGATATATTAGACAGAAAGTTAACTGTCATGTCTTGAAGCTGACATGTTGGACACAGAAAATGGCTGTAACAGAAACACAGCGGCTTTACCAGAAGCCAGTTGTGAGGGCTAAGATAACATAAGATAAGATAAGATAAGATAAGATAAGATAAGATAAGATAAGATAAGATAAGATAGAACTTTATTAATCCCTCGGGTGGGTTCCTCTGGGAAATTCGATTTCCAAAAAAGCACAGCAACGACCGAAGTTACAGAGTTACAGAATATTATATATACACACACACACACACACACACACACACACACACACACACACACACACATAATACAGAGACAATATAAATAAAATATACGAAGGGGATAAATAGAATAAATAGGAATAAAAAATAAAAATAAGTGAATTGCACATTTCAAGTATTGAGGTATTGAGGTCTATTGCACTATGTGTGGGTTATGGCGCCTTAGGCTCACTGATGCATGCGGAGAATAAAGGCTGACCCGTGTGGTCTAACATCAACTCCAAATTTCTAAAACCTTAATGTGGATGTGATAGAGAGGCACTAAGGCACAATGTGCATCCCAGCTTACAGAGTACATCAACTGTATATAAAAGATGGATATTGACATCAGCTGCTGGTTAGTCCAAATGTGAAGCTATGAGCTGAATAGAAACATTGAAACCAAACGTGAGGAGGAAGGTAAGGATCTGACTAAGAAACAAGAAGACAAAGCACGCTCAAGCTTTTCAATGATAACAAAGCAACAGCGTACTTTATCTCACTTCTTTGATTCTAATGGGGAACATATTTTATAAAATGAACAACACTCTGTAATTAGGACTTAAAGCCATCTTATCAGGAAGGTTTTTGCTGAGGTCACAGAAGCTGAAAGCTGGTTTCCCTTATGTGGACCTGTGAAAAACTAAATACAACCCCATGATTCAGTAGCTTACAGAATTACCTTTAGCAAGGATAGCTTGACGTAATCACTCTCCGCATGTATTTATCAGTCTCTCAGATCATTGTGGAGGAATATTGGTCTACACTTCTGCCAAAACGCCTTGAATAGATTGTATTTGATTAGCATCACCTGGCTGCTACCTGTCCTCTGAATTCCTATGGAAGTAAAAATGTCGGAATGCTCAAAAGTGAACAAATAAGGCTTTTGTGTCTACTGCTTTCCAATCATCTTCTTGCCTGCCTTCTTTGAGCCTGGTGGATGGTTTAAATCTGTCCTATCTGTAATTCTTCCTTTCAGACTCCTTTGTGCATCCTACTTCCTCCCCATCTCCACCTCAGACACCTGAGCCAAAGCTCTATTCAAGCCAGCTATTCTAGACTCTGGTCTAGACTTTAGTCTAGACGCTGTCCTAAATCCTTTTACTGCTGGGATTCAATCCTGCCACGATGGGTTATCGGAGACTAATCGCCAAATATATTAATTTCTCCATCTCAATAAATCATGTTCGATTTTTTTTAAAGTGATCTCTCTTCATTGAAATGCACAGTTGAGGCACTTCTGCATGACTTTCACTTTTTAGACCCAAAATTACACCCAACCTTTTCATATGGCTGCATATGAAGCTGTGCAGCTTCAGACCAGCTGAGTGTGTCAAAGCTGACTTCTGTGCAGCACTCAAAGAACATACATGAGCTTTAGAGTGAGAGCATGGACCAATAACACAATGAACTAGTCAGGGAAGGATGTTTCATCTTTTACATTTTGTGCATTTGTGATTTTTTTTTACAAGAGGCAAAGAGGGCAACTTGGTGTAATGCTGAGAACTCTTGGGTCCAGGCATTCATATGCATGGTATTTTGCCATGTACCACCCACCTAAACACTAGTCACACTGATCCCTGATGGATGTGGTATTCCCTGACAGAAGTGGCCTCTTTTAGCAGAATAATGCACCTGCCACAGTGCTAAAACTTTTCAGGCATGGTTTGAGGGAACTGAACAAAGAGTTCAAGGTGTTTACTTGGCCTCAATTCCCCAGATCTCTATCCAATTCAGCATCTGTCCTTCGCTGGGTCAGAGCTCTTTTGGGGGCACAAGACAGACCTAAACAATCTCGGGCAGCCGGCTTAAGTGTTGGCATGGATCAGTTAGCAGACGAAATCATAAAGACAGGAGCTAAAAGAAGATGCTACCCCACAAATTGGATCACATCATCATCACAAAATCAGCCTGAGATTACACCAAGAGATGGAAGCAACTGAGACCTAAAGCACTTTAAAAAAGTCAGCATTCTTTTCAAAAGCATCCTCACTTTACTTTCACTGCCTTCAGCGGTTACACAGTTGTGAAATTAGAGATACATGTTCGGTAAGTATCTGCTCCTGCCACAAAAATGGATAAAAGAAAGCAATCAGAAGCTTTACCATTTGCCTCCATTAAGAGTTCTTTTATATAGCCTCTAACACTAAAGCAGTAAATTGATGTTTATATAATTTAATACATTTACATTTCAAAGCCTGCAGACACAAACATGACCAGACACGAAGAGAGTGAGAGGACAATAAATGTGTGTTTCATGGAGATGCTTCTTGCTTGAGCGAAACCACAAAAGTCATTTATATATACTAAGTGATAGAAGAGTACATTATTTGACCTAAACCATGGAGATGTGCCTTTGAGGCTGTCTCTGAAGTTGCAACATTTTTTTTTCTCTGCACATGATCTCAGGAAGCACAGCTAAAGTCGTCCCGACTGCCAGCGTATCTGGGAGCGTAACCATGGAGCCTTGGTCAAAAGCAGATCAAATGCAATGTAACAATAGAGGTACGGGTTTGGAAAAACAAGTCTCCCCCTCCGAGTGGCCTCAGAGATTCAGCTCTTGGCAGGAGAAGATGGGGGGGGAGGCCAGCATGCAGCGAGTGCAGCCGCATTACCAAGAAGCCGTGACAAAGAGAGCTGCCCAGGTTTCAGGCTGTTCCCATGCTTAAAGGTTTGATTAGATGTCTGTAAGGTTGAGGAGTATGTGTCTGGAGAGTAACCCAGGTTAAGTGCAATTTAGTGTGCAGGTTTAATGAAACTTTGTGTACTAAACACAAAGGAAGCCCTAAATTACAAATGAGGCTGTTTGTCAAAGTGACTCATCGAGCACTTTCTTAAACGGTTGTTTAGCAACTTATACTACCTCTACGACTTTGACCACTTCTACCTTAATTAAAGAAAACAAATATGGGCTGTGACAGGGTCAAATATAATAGAACTTAACATTTTTACAAAAGTTAAACACTTCAGCTTAAAGTGAGTCCTCAATAAATAAGTTTGTTTTGTTTTCCAAAGCAAGGCTAATTTATGTGTCCTAGGCACAGATGTAACATGAATGCTTAATGAGAAAGCTCTTAAAAGAAAACCAACAAAAACAAATTTAAATTTATTCCCTCAGTTCCTCCACGCTTCTCCATCTATTTTAGTGTCTTTCAGCTCATTGTTTTGGTTTTGATTTGGAATCACCTGCATAGCACCAGTGCCAATAAGGTATAGTGGTACCAGATCTTCAACTCGTTTAATTCGTTCCCCAATAAAGACAACTGTACCCCTAATGATGACTTTTCACATGTCAGGATTTATCAGTAAAGATGTGGCTTGATGACCATTAGCATAGTTTCCTGTTTTTCCCAAGGGTAGCTTCATCGACAGAGACCACCCTCACTAATTTCTGGTCCACACCTGATCGTTTTGTTTGATACGCCGGCCTAAAATATGACAGCATCTGCTCAGTTCAGAAAATATCTTCAGGGGTTACTCCTGGTAGGCTTTTAAGCAGTAGACAGTTAACACTGCACTTCTGACCACCTTACAAATTCATGTTAATTACTCTGTCTGGCCTCCAAAACTCCTGAGGGGAAAGTCTGCCTCTTAAAAGCTTCTCTGTGTTCAGAAGAATTCTAATGCCAGCCTCAGACTGCATGATCTGTTTCTCTGTGATGACAGTCACTCTGTTGGATTAGGATTTCACACAGTCATGAAATCTTACTCTTTCTGACTAATACCTATGACACACTACAGGTTCCTTCCTCATCGGCCATGTAAGGAAAAAAAGCTGGCTTTCAGCCTTGCAAAGTACCGATATCGTTCCTGTTACGCTTTGTCATGTTTACAGCTGCACACAGCTGGTAGAGCGTGCTGTGCTCATACTGGTCAACATCACAGACGTCACAAAACCATAATGCTTTCAGACCAAGTCCATCAACTGCTGTCCATGATGGACATTTTCATTCCTAACGTCACGCCCTGCATTGTCTGTACTGGGCCGCTATTGGGCCAGTATCATACAGCCTGGATCTGGTATAATTGTGCATGCCTTGCCCTTTAATGCACGGCAGGGAGTCTTTTACTATTACAGCTATGGTGATTTAATGATTTATTTCAGGCTAGAACCTGAAACAGCAGCTTTTATTCCTGATGAGTATTTCCTGTAACTAAACTTTACATCTACGCTGAGAAAGGGGGGCTGAACGAACTAATGTGCTTATCCAGCAGTTCTACACAGCTTAGGAGCTGAAAAACTCCAAGGGCACCTTGGTGCTGGCAGATGAGGGAGGGGGGCACTTGCCACTCACTCCCACCTCCCCTGCTCTGAGCCCCTTGTCCAATCTGGTCACTCAAGAATGCTCTGCTCTCCTTTAGGCTACAGCTATCTGGAGACTAGCTTTACCTTGAGCTTTCTGACTGCATCCTTTACAACTTCTGTGCCTTTCGGAGCTTCAACCTCTGTGTTTCCAAGGAACTGAAAAGAGAACAAAAAGACGCACACAGTAAAACAAAAGGTGTAAACAAGTATTTAATTACATAGCCCAATACAAAGAAGATGATGAAGAATACTTCTAAAATTCAAAAAGCAGGTGAGGTGTCAGTGTGTGTATTAATAATATTTAATAATGTGTCAAATCAATTTATGACCTCTCTGATTTGCTTCATCCACTGTGCTCAAATTCATCCTGTTATTTTCTTCTTCATGGTAGGTCTGTCACAGTGAGTCTGTGGTAGGTCAACGTAGTCAGGGTTTAAAGCACCGACATGTTTTAATAAAAATACCAATATCTGGCACCAGTGCATCATATTCTGTGCTCCTAAAGGAAATGCTACAGTGTACTTTGGTATTCTGGCCTACGGACATTGGCCAAAAACTAGGTAAACAAATGAATCCATAAAGGATGAGTTGGATCTTTTATCAAACTGTAGGAAAGAGGCTTTCTCAGAGTTTAAAATCTGTGGAGCTTCACGTTTAAGTCACTAAAATCTCAAATTTGTCACTCTGACTTCAAATAAATGTAGATGATCTTTCACATCCTGAAGGCATTAGTATATATTCTTCTTCATCATCTTGCATTTCCTGTATTGCAAAAAGTTATAAAAGTGTCTTTTACACATGAGGATTGGATGAACACACACCAACACACACAGACGCACACGAGCAGCACTTCTGCTGTTCACCAACAGATGGAGCCGTTAACCTTTGAGCCTGAACATCGTGCGCCCCATCTGGCAGCAACAGTTGTAATTGTTGCAGTCACACAGGTTGCTTCGCTGCTTCCTGAGCTTAATGTGTGGAGCCTGTTCCAATATCAGACTTCAAAAACACTGGTGTCAGAGCCTTCAAGGCTGGCACAAACAAAATAACAATGTCTCCCATTGGAAGCTGAAAGCAGCTCCGGCAGTTTGACTGTCTCTGTGACACATTAAAATCTTTGTGATGCAGGCAATGACTTGGCTGTGCTAATACCCATAAAAATTTGGAGTGCGCACTGCCAGCTGCCGTGGCTGTAATAACAAGAGGTGAAATACAGAATTTATTTGTATTTTTTTTAATCTTGCACATTTCTGACAGCACTATAAAAGAACCCTTCCGTCAAAAATCAAATCAATTAACATAGCTTCTCCATCCAAAACGTGTCTGTGTAACTCTTTGGTGGCTGAGAGCCTCTGACGTCTTTCTAAATGCAGTAAGACAGGTGAACTAACACCAGACTGCAAGTTATCAATAGAGCCAGAAGACAGATTGAGGCTTCAGAGCAAAGTGTCAGCATTCTGCATCGGTGTGACAAATGTACTCTCCACACTTATGCTCATCTCTGGGAGTGCTGCTGACAGATGCCCAGAATAGAGTGGAGTAACACTTGTTCCTGACCAGTGCATTCTGGGCTGCGACTGGGGAGGTCTCACAAGGCAAACAGAGCTCGGAGGCTCATCCATCAACTGGTGCACGCAGCTGAAAACGAACCGGCCCTACCTCTTGTTGCCCGCAGAAAGGAAAGAACTCACATTTTCAACTGCAGACACACACGTGTCAGCCTTGTGGCAGGTCTCAAATGTTCACTCAGATGACAACATAGAGCTAAGTTCCAACTCACCATCCATCCGGTGTTCACTCCTCCAAGCTGAAAGTTCTCAGATTTTTTTTTTTTTTTCTTATACACCTTCAGAAAGGGCAGGATCTGTGTTGTGCATAATTTAAGTGACTTGTGAATGTGACATGATTACTGATGAAAGACATGGCAAATCTAGCAGCTCACCTCTCAACATCCTCTTTCCTCTTTGAGCCCACAGGTCAATCACACTGAAGCTGCTCATAAAAAGCACCGTTAGAATTTGTATAACTGTCCGATCGGATCAAAGAACTGGCAGACTACCGAAATCAAAGCTCACTTCAGTCTCAGCAGTCGTCACTGCGTAAGAAGTTAAAGGTAATACATTTTAAAAACAGTGGACTTAGTTCTTAACTGGGAAGTTGCTGCTGTGATTTACTGATGACAGCATAACGATTTAGCATGAATATAAAACTGCAGATCTGTTGTGATTGGTGTGGATGTAAAGTTACTGCTGCAAATATCAGCGAGGGAGACTTCCTGTGTTACCTGTTCTACAATTGTTCTTAAAATTGAACTCAAACATGATCAATTAAAGTAATTTGATATAGATATTTTATTCCTCTTAGGAATACGCTTAGTAAATTACAAAAGAAGAAAACTCATCAGCGACAATCCACTTTGATAATAAATGAATCATTTCAGTCATTTTTCTAGCACAGATGGAAATAACTTTCAAATTTCTTTCCAGCTTCTTTTAATTTGCTTGTTTTTCTTTGCTTGTTTTACCAAAGGAACGATCACTTAATTGCGATTTCAGTGAATAAAAAACATGAAGTCCATCTTCTGTGTATTCCCAATTCAGTCTTTACCCGAAGGATCTTAAACCGTAAAACAGATGAACACGCTTGAATCAGCCATCAGTCACCAGTTTTAGTTCCAATTAGCTTATTATCACCTGCACGCAATACTAAAGTTATTTTTCAGCCTACATTTACACCAGGGGCATCATGGTGGGTGATGTATTGTTGCCAGAGATAAAGTTTAGGGGAGTGGCTACTTTGATTGGCAGGTGTTCTGAAAAGGAGCTGCAGTTTGTCACCGTCTGCTAGGTCGCATTTAGCAATATAAGATATTAGATCATGTTTGTGATGCCGTTTCAAAACATTTATAGTTATTTTTGTCTACTGTGTGGTGTAGTTCCTCCAAGAAATTCAGATTTTATTGAGTCAAATTCTAGTATTTTCTTGTTATATCACAGTTAGGATTTGATCTCAGGTTCAGTTCATGAAAGTTTTGAAGTGCCGTCAAATCGAAATGATTGAAGTTATCAAAGATTTTACGTCTTTGTCAACGTTTGAAAATAAAGAAAAAGGGTTCATTTTCTTGAGGCTAAAAGAGAGCTCGCTCTCTCTGCTCTAACTATCTGGCACATTGTTCAGTGAACTGCTAACTGAGCTTATTTTTACAGTACTGAGTGCTTGAAACCTGGGAGATCATGCCAAGCACATTCCCAGCGCACCGCACCCCCCCAAATTCCTTCACTGATGAGTCCTTTACTCAGATCTCAGCAAATTTAACCAGACGGGGATCTCATCACTCAAAGCAATACAGCGAGTATAGGAACTGACAATGTGCTTTGATTTTAGAGATGTGCCTTCTGCCGGCTTCCTTTGCTTCTTTGCTGCATGCAGGAAGGGAGCTTCAGCAGTTTGCAGCGATATTTTGGAGGCAGTCTTGGAGCTCCACCTCCGTTCCAGCATCGCATTTGTGAAGCACAAGAATGTAGGCCGACAGATTTTGTGCCTCATAGGAGGAAAACTCTGTCGAAATGAAGCAGAAAACCAGCTTGACAGGGGAGTCCTCCCCAAGGGACACAGTCCCTCCTTCCAGGGGTGTTTGCTGGATATTTGAAAAACACCTTTTTTTCCCCGGTGTTTTATAGCAGATCCTGATTCCAGGCAAGCCTGAGAGCCATTTCATTACAAGTTAGTCCTGCATCAGATCCAAAGTTCTTACCTATTTTGACGTGTGCATGTGCCACTTTACTTAAATCCCCCTCTGTTCACACACTCATTAAAAATAAACAAATCAAGAAGGCTAAAAGACAGAGTCTCCTTCAAATTAAACTTTGATGAGGAAGATTTCCTTCCCCGCATCACAGCACCAAGAGACAACAGCTGCTATGAGAGACGAATACAACGGTATCAATTTTTTGACAGTACTTGAGGTGTGTGGGCAGGGAATTAATTTAAACACCATTAAAAATCCAAATTATTGTTACATTGAGGAGAGGGGCTGAGGTTTATCAGCCGTCTCTGTCAGGAATTTTTATGCAGCCTCAACCTAAAACAATGCATCTATGGGCAGTGAAGCTCATTTGCTGGACAATACCAGAGAGTGCAATGAAAGGCCTGGTGTTTATCAGGGGAACTGCATTGTGGGACACACAGACAGAGAGATTTAACAGGCATGACTGGAGGGAATAAACACAGACAAAGGTGGGAGCCACAAAAGAACAGACTTCTTTTTCAACTTGCAATAAAAGTGTCACAGTTCTTCGCTGTTTCATTATTTTGCAGTCGCCCTGCTCTGACAGAGTTCATTAAAATGTAGCAGGCAAAGAGAGATACCTACCTTGGCATTGTAGGCTATGTAATGCTTGGCCAAAGCTTCTGGGGTGTGCATCCATGATTTATCTGAAATGATACAGACAGCTGACTCAGTATGACAGACTTAATCACCCAAGTTAATACAGTACAGGTATAATTAGCCACATGCATTCAGTGGTTAAATGTGAGGCAATGAGTAGAAGAAATTAGCTGAACCTTTTAAAGAGGAAAAATGGAGAAAATTGGCTCATTCTGCGAGACGCAGTGCTTCTTTCCCATATATTCACACCTGGAAGCTTCACATCACAAGTACAGTTCACCGCCACACATGTGAGGGTCTAGCAGCATCACTAGAGCACCCTTTTAGGGGCATACCAATGAAAGCTAGGCAAGGGAAAATGCTGATTTTAATTTCACACCTCAAGTTATCCAACATGAAAGGTAATTGGACCTGTGACTTACTGGTCTAAATCCCGCTTCTCAAACTGTGTGTGCTTTGACTGAACGCAGCAAATTTCAGAGGCCGTGCACTGTATTCAATAAAAATGCAAACACATGGAAGGAAACTGAGCCCGATGTGCTCTAGGTGGAGCAAATTAGAGGGGAGATGCATCTTTGCAAGTGGACAATGTTTCCATATCACATAAGTATGCGTGCCCTGTTACTCCACTTCAAAATATCAAAAAACAAGACAGAGAAGGTAAGGAGTGGAGGACCTAACGGAGCAGACACAGTGAGAGTGCATTTTACCAGTTAGCTACAGTTATCCAAGCAGACTATATAGAAAACCAGTCAGATTCTTTGTGTTGCTGTCACCTGAGTCGTCGCTAGGAAAAAGTATGTATTCCAAATGTGGACAGCCAGTAAGATGTTTTTGGAGGTTACCTGTCTTCAGAAGCAAGCAAACTAAAAGTGAAGTAGCAATTAAACTTTGAAAAGTGCGACAAAAACTAGAAATGAAGAACTTCAAAGTAAAAGCTGATTTTTTTTAAGTGTTGGTAAGGCAGAGTTTTTACTTTGAAGGCAAGCAGTGTCTGTTACACATTTATTTAAATACAGCTCAGAAGTCAAAATAGCAACAGTTTACAGACAAGTCGGTGTCTTTCATACAAACAACAGGCGACCACAGAAGTCTGCTTGTATCCACAGAGATCACAAGGAGGTTTTTGGTGCAGCACCAACATTTTACTTACGCTACATGTCTGAGTTTACTTGCTACTCATGTTAAGCAAACTGAGCAAACTGGGTAGCTTGGCTGCCCTCTGCTCAAACACTTATTTCTGTTTTTAGTTTATTAAGTTTGGTGGTTTTGCCGGGTTTGGGTACATGTCAGAGTGTGGCACTAGATTATATCTCTAGTCTCATCATTTGTGAATGTTGTTAGCTAGGTGAACTCGTAACTTGTGCGGTGTTTAGCCACATTAGTTACAATCAGTACAAGGGCGTCTCTCTTCAGTTGTAGGTGGTTACCTGTTTGTTTGATCGCTTCAATTCCTGATAGCTCATTTTGTACATCAGAGACCAAATTAGAGTTAGAAAGACAATAAAATTTGGTATAATTTGGGGTCCACATGCCACTGCATGCAGTGTTTGGTTTCTCAGTAAGATCCACTCTTCACTGTGATACCCAGTTTAAACACAGCAACCTGGTGACAGTCAAAATATTCAAGCTGAGGCCTGACAAGCTGTATGCGCTGGCTGATTGCATATTCTATCAAACACCTATGGGTTTACATAGCCTGGAAATAAACTGAAATTCACACAAAATAAATACATTTGCCCTCCATACTCCTTAAAGCATCTAATTTAATAATCCTGCATTTACCATAACATGATTTTAACCGTTTTTTAGACATGTGGCAGCTTTTGAAACATCAGTAAATCCTTAAATAAATAATATTTGTTTACATAGAGCATGGAGTATTTTGTCTGTGGTGCTTTGATGAAAAGTGACCAATAGGGTGGTCTGCTAATTTGTTCAGTATTGTCTTCGTTCTCTATTTGCAGAGCTAATCAAATGTGAAACTACACACAAATGGAACCATTTATTTTCAAATGGGTCCATCAGATAAAGGATTGCATAAAGTAATATCTTTTGCTAGCATTGGTTAAACTAAATTAGAACTTTAAAACACCATCTCTCTCAGCTGAAACACTACTCCAATGCCACTGCCAATCAAAAGATAATCTGTGTTTAATCACTTGAGTTTTAGCACCGGTGTATTTGTTTGTTGGGCAAATCATTCCACAGTGCCTATAGTTAGTATTTACAATTTGCCCTGGAGACAGTCTTTGAAGATTTACACCAACACAAAGTGAGCGGTGGTTCAGAGATCATTACAGGTCACTGATGACACAATCCAAAGCGCCCATTATGCCATTTTCAGCATTTCTTAATCACCCACTGATTAAGGATTCTTTTCGCTTTTCATTTCCACATTCATAAACGGCTTATCGCCTCGTTAATGAATCTTGGGACAAAAGATGCATGACTGTGACCTTGGGGCCACTTGGCTCCTGTAGGTTGATTGCGTTAATCAAGACTTTGCAAGGTGCAAACGATGTGATGTCAACTTTACCGCGTCCTCTGCACAGGTACGCTAATTACTTTGTTTACATTCATGTGCTGGCTAAGTGGCTTGATGAATTTAAAGTCTGTTCTAATTAGTGTTAATGTGGTACACCGCATTTGTTTAATTGTGACTGCTTAGGGTTGCTAACCTACAATATTATTCTCAAAGAAACTTTGGCAAAAGAGCATGTAATATGTAATGATGAAATGTTTGGAAGATTTTTTGAGATTATACGTTTTAATTATAATAATTTATTTAGCAATTGTTTAAGTTCACAGATTTAATGTGATGGATATTTACCTGCCAAAAACAAATACAAACTATTGTGAATGCGTAATATTTGACCATATGCTGTTAAAACTCAAACTAAATGGATGCAATACATTTAAAATAATCTGGGTTAACACGACTGACTATTTTTACAGCTGTAAGGCAAACTGTGTTGACTTGTTTGAGTAATTTTTGATGGGGAAATATGAATCACATTAAGTTTATTAAATTGTTTATTTTAAAATAAGCACCCGTACTGTGTTTTCTATCCAAATGAATAGAAAACACAGTACTGTGCAGAAGTCTTGAGCTACCCATCATTATCGGTACCAAGGAGGTTATCTTTTTGTAGGGTTTGCATGTCATTCAGTCATTCTGTCTGTTAACACGATAGTTCAAAAAGTTTTTAATAATTCTAAAATATCTGCTAGGTGTGCAGAGTGGGGTTATATTAACATCCATTAAAATTAGGCTTCCATCCACTGAGTTCTTCAAGGTCACCTTAATGATATATTGGTCAAAAGTTGACAAAAAAACCTTAGCATTAGACCGTAACTATAAGTGTGGTGCTTATTGTCAACATATATAGAAAGTGTTGTATAAGGATTTATAATATCCCGTCATATCTGACCTCTGACCTCTCCTTCAGTGTCAACAGACACATCTACAGGTCACTTTGACTTCTTGTGTCCTCCTGTTTTGCTTCAGAGGACCCAAAATTTCCTGTCATTTTTTGAGGTTTCACACTGTCTCATTCTGTTCTTACCTTATATGCTGTACTGCCACACATATATCCCATTTCCATGCAAAAGTTAAAGAAGTGATGGGTGGCTTGAAACTTTTCACAGTCCTGTACATGTAACTGAAATACAGGATCTTAAGAATTTAGACTAAAAAAAAAAAATTGAAAAAGTTGATTTTATGCCTCTGCAATTCATTTTGATGGCAAACATGCCCACAGCCTTACAGCTAAACAACACTAACACATCAGTGTGGTGGTTTGTTTGCAGTCTCCAGCACTGCACTGTAAACTTTTCTCTACTTAAACTGTATTCCTTCCAGGTTTACTTAACAGCTGTGCAATGAGATTAAACCTGCTTACACCTTGCAATGGCCTCCTCTAAAGCACAATCAATTTCCTAGTGGGAAGCTTGAATGAAAACTGACATAGGAATGAGGTGCCTCCTCCCTACTTTTACAGTAAACTCTAAATTCCAAGAAGGAGTCAAGAGAAAGGATGGAAGAGATGCTGTGCGGGCTGACACAGCCGCATGGCGGGTAGGCTGGCATTATTTTAAGGTGTCAGCACACACTGCTCTGATGAAAGGAGATGGGGGAGGGGGATGCTTTTTGTCTCTCTTTGCTGTTTAAAATGGCAGCTATGTGAGCATGACAAAAACTGGCCACAGTGATGTGTACAGTTGAAATAACTGTTGGGGCGTGAGGAACAGTCGGGGAATCTGAAGGTCAACTTTGTGTGGATGAACTGTCAAGTGTTGGGTGGAGATGAGGGAAAATTTAAGGGCTGACAGCCGGAAAAGTGTCGCTGCTTCTCTGTCTCACAGTGTAATGTACTTTGGAGCGACAGGTTTTGTTGCATAAAGGTCACAAGTCCTTCATGCATGTTACACTGCAGCTCCAACCATTATTAACAAGAGCTGTCTTCACATATCTTTCGCATCATAGAATGATCTCCTTCAAAAACAATGCCTATTTTATACTTATTCCTGAGAATATGAGCCTGGGGATTTATTTTATAAATACATATGGACAGTTAGGGCCATGTCCGTAATAGGTCCTTGAAATTCTTCTGCTGTACACCACCCCAGTGGCTTTTACATGAAACTATTAAAATCTGAATGAAGTGCAGACCTTCAATTTTAATTCAACAGGTTTAATAAAAGGTACTGCATTAACTGTTTAGGGATAATAGACATTATTATACATACTGTCCCATTTTCAGAGGCTCAAAGTTAATTGGCCAATTGATTGCAAAGCAACTTTGTGGCCAGGTGATGCATGTTTCAACTGACAAGTTGAGGGGGGAAAAAAAAAGTCTAAAGTTGATTTCAAAATGTTGAAATTGGTGGCCGTTGATTGGAAATCTCAATAGGAGGTACAAATAGGTCTTAGTCTATTCATGCATAGGCTGAAAAAAACCTAAATTAACATATCAGAGAGACAGCAAAAAAAAAAACTCAGGATTGACCAAACAGTTTCCTTCATTCTTAAAAACAAGGAATG